CACTGTGCTTATGAGAACCAGGTTTAAATTTGCACATTTTTGCGGCACTCATCCTGCAACTATATTGTTTTTTCTGCAAAAACTTGGGAGATCATAGTTTGCAGTGTGTGGGAAGTAACACAGTCGACACAGGAATTCAAAAGTTAAAAACAACTTCTGAGGAAAGATCTTTTTTTGTAATTTCTATCACCTTTCCTGTTTTTCAATTTTGATATCCCATGTTTTAGGAAGAAATTAATTTGATATCATTTTTCAGCGAATAATAACTTCTTGTTCAATGGTATTCCCAAGCATATTCCAAATGTTCAAAGATATTTTACAAGAAACCAACTCATTATGTTTAAACCCTACTGTAGCTTCCCCTGAGCCTGGCCACTCGTGCTATAAAAATTTAGAGTGGCTTTGCAATATTTTCAAGAGCTTTTACTGAAGGTCAGGCCTTAACCTAAAGTTTTTGCAACTTCCAACATTTCCACAATCTACCTTTAAAACTTCCAAGAATATTCCTGTTTTGTTTATGAAGCCTCATCTAACTTTTACACCAGCAAATTTGCCAAAAAAGACAAAGGTTCCCAAAATGTTCACTCCTGAACCACGTCTGAAACACTTCCTGAAAAATCCTGCATACGTTCCCCGTTTTTATCCCGGAAGCCTCGTCTCACCTTTGCGCTGGCAGACTTGGGTCTGGCGCCAGCTTTCTTGGCAGCAGGGGCCTTGGCGGGCTCCTCTTTCTTCTTGGGCTCCGGCTTCTTCTCCGCCTTGGGCTTGCTGGCCTTCTTGGGGGCGGTGCCGTTGTTCAGTTCAACCTTCTCCCCACATTCATTGATCTGACAAGCAAAAAAGAACAACATCAGACCCATCCATCAGTGGCTGTTACTTTTAACCCTTCCTGATGCACGCTTCCATGCAATCCACACATCAGGGTATAAAAGTGTCTATCACTTATGTGACCTACATAACAGACTGATAACACCTGTGCAGGAAGAAGGCTGTGATCGAGTCATCACAGGTCACTCAGAATTTTCTTGAGCAATTTAAACAGGCTTCCTGCACCTAAAGGACAGTCAAATTCCATGACTTTTCCCTGACCAAATTGTGAATATCCATGACCCAATAATGCAATTTCTCGGACTATTCAGACTTTTAAAGTTGCAAATAAAATCACACATTTTATGCACTTACTCCTGATAATAGAAATCACACAGTGTTAGAAAAATTCCATGACTTTTCCATGACTAGTCATTTTTTACAAAATTCCATCACTTTTCCAGGCCTGGAAAACGAAAACAAAATTCCATGACTTTTCAAGACTTTCCTGGCTGCAGGAACACTGAGCAAACCACTGTCCAATCACAATTCTCTATCCTCAAGTCACCAGCTACTTGAATAAACTGTTCCAAAGGCTCAATCGTTGGACAGTACTTATTTCCAGCTGAGCGAACTGTTCACCTTGTCTATTTTGATCTTGTCCAGGTCGTTGAAGAAGGGCTGCATGGGTTTCTCTCCCACAACTTTCTGGGCTGTAGCCAGCGCGAGGGAGGCACCATCTCGAACCTCAGGAAATGTGTCAGCAAGTTTCTGCCAGAGTAAAATAAAATATCAATTTAAAACAATTGGAGGAAACCATGATAAATTTGGTGGAAAGTTTCTCCGATTCTGAGGCCCCAAGGAATTCTTTGAATAAAATCAATGATTTCCCTCCAATGGGGCATTTGTCTGTTTTGTGTATTCCGCAAACATGCGTGCACTTTAGAAACTGCAGAAAATACACACTCAACAGTGACAAAGACGGACACAACAAACACATTAACTCTGCTGCACCTCCTCACAACACATATGTGTGATTTTTGTACACATTCAGACGAAAACTGCCAGACAGCCTTTGGGTTTCTCAACACACCTTGACGAGGAGTGTGCAGAGAGGTTTGAGCACGGCCTTGGGCAGCATGGACACGGTGCAGATTCGGAGGGCCCTGCTGAGGAAGAGGGCAGTCTCCGCCCGGATGGAAGGGTTCTTGTTCTCCAAGGCTCCTGTGACGTCGTCTAGGATGTTCTGCAGTGACGTCTGAAATGATATACATGTAAGACAGGAACAAGTCAGCCGGGTGAGTGGAATTTCACACCAAGCCACCATTTCAATGCAAACAACAGTACGGGGTTCACGCCCCAAACAGGGAAAGCCTGTGAATGCTACTCATAACGTCTCAAATAGCAACAAGTCTTTTTGTGTTACTTACATTCGGCCAGTGTTGGCAAGATCAGGTGATAAAAGTCCAAGTCAGAGGAGGAACAACTCACAAAATCTCAGTAGAATATTAATAAGGTCTGCCTTCAGCCTCTTAAAACTGAACGTATTTTTACAGTTTTCCAACGTAGGTTTCTTCATACTCATGAGTTACATTGCTGTGATTGCTTTTTCAGTATCTCTTGTTTCACTGGCCAAATAGTAACTAGTGCCAGATCAGCCAGCAAGAACCAGTTCAAACTGCACTGGAACTGGCTCCAACTGGATTGTAGTCACTTGGGAACTGTGTCAAAAAGATGAGTAAAAAGGAGTATTTCACGAGTTCTTTCTGCAGGACTCAAAACTCACAGATGGAAAGATGGCGTCGGATGCATCTCTCAGGGCCGTCACCACACTAATCTTCTTCTCCTTGAACTTGTCCAGTATCGTGGACATGCACTGCAAAGAGACAAGACATGTTCCTTGGCATGTCACGTTTCCTTTACTCTTTCCCAATGCAATACAGTTACAATAAAACTTGACTTCAGGACATTTGCTGGCCAGCCACATGACTGGCATTATCATTGATTCTCTAAAAATCTTCAATTGAGCAAGAAGCAATAAACCCAACTTTAACATCAGTTTGGCTGGAATGCCCTATACAATGTTTCCTCTCTGGTTCTCTGATTCCGAGTAAAATTACAAATAGAACGCAGACCCTGTCATGCATATGTATGAGTATTTAAATGAGCTGATTCTGTATTGGAGGTCATTAAGATAATGTTGCACTGACTGTTCCCTGACTCTAACAAACAATGGACATTAAGACTTTGGCCAGACTATGAGCCCGAGCTGGACCAAGAGTGGGTGCAATTTTCCTAGCAAAAGAGGCTACATTGGTTGGAACTGCACTTCCTGGGTTCACCAACGACTATGAAATGCACATGTTACAGTTGCGTCACTACCAGTCAATATGAAAACTCCCGACCAACATGGCTCTTTTCGTCCAATGAAGGGGTGCTTCTGCTCGAGGCGGATTAGTGCCAAGCATTTAAATAATCTTCAAATGGACGAGTTCTTCTTTTAAAAAGACTTACACTTGCTGCGTAGGGAGAGAACTTCTTTCTGATGCCGTTGGCTAAACCCGTCAGGCACTTGGCAGCCAGGGCTACAATCATGACGTTGGTGTCCTTGGCAATGGTCTGCAAAATGAAGTAACCATTTCTGTTATGACGGGTACCTGCTCAAACCAACATATGACCCACAGCAAACAAAAACACAGGACATTTAATTTATAACGAGCCCAGGAAACACTACGCAGAGCAGAAAATAACGCACTAATCGGAGAGAACTAGCTCTGCCCTGGTAATGCTCAGGAACAGGTCAGCCTTGCGTCTCTCACGGGAAATTCAAGATGGTGACTGCTTGGACAATTTTCATTTCAATTTCACAAAAGTAAGTCACACCGGTTTCCCATTATCCCCTCCTCCCCAAAACAACCCAAAAAACCAGAAGTCAAGCACTAGGTCCAGATCTGAATGATCTTTAACTTTGCCTGCCTCTATGCAAAATAGTCACACGACTTGGAGATTTCTGTGAATGAAATGCACAGAGTTAGGAGCCGAAAGTCCCATTTGCTTGATTTACGGGGAAAAAAAAAGTTCTACAATTGACCCTGATTATGGCACCTCTTGCTGTAAATAACCTGTGGGATGGCAAAATATGAATGAGCTCGCGTGCAGGGATCTGCTGATTTTAGTGGAATGCGCCCTCGTATCATGTGCTCTGTGTGTTACCTTTTTTAGTGACCGCACCAGATCAGCAAAGTCGCCCGGCTCGATCTTTGGATTGGAGACCAGGGGAAGCAGGGCCTCGAGGGCCTCCTTGCGGATCTGCCATTTCTTCTCCTCCTGCGGGAAGAGATGCAAAAAGGGAGACCAAAGTTTTTTTTTAGATTCAGCCGAGAGACTTGAATGCAAAACAGGGAGGATAAGTAGCCCAGGAATAAACTTGGTCAGGGCAGAAACTTGGGGAGAAAGACTTGATGAAATGTCCGTAATACATCACTGATTTTTTTTTCCCCCAAGAGAATAATTTTTTCCAGATCATGACAAGAACAGCACGGTTCGATGTTGAATCTTACCATATTGTCGTAGAAGTCCTTGGGCATCTTGCTCAGGATGTCCACTGCCGTCAGGAGATCGTAGGGATCGACGGCCGGCCCCCCATCAACTACATCCTCCTCTGCAAAGCACCAAGAATGCGGGCTATCAATCTAGTGGATGGCATTTTGAGTTGAAGGCCTCCAGGCTTTCATGCGAGTTAAGCGCAGCGAATCCGTTACGAAAAACTTCATATATTTCATGCACGTTGTCTGTGCGTCTGAACCAAGTAACCCGGGTCCAGAGTACTTGAGGCTTCGCACGACTCACATGCAAACCCCGACAGCAGTGGGAGGAAGCTGTAGCCGATTCTCAGTGACACGCACCTTCTGCTTTTTAGCACGCTAACAGTGAACCTACAGAAGTACCCTGTCAGCCAATCAACTTGGCTTCTGATCCACATTCTTTTTTAAACGTAGCCAGCAGGTTTCAAAGCCAAGCCACCCAGTTTAAAATTTTGGCTGCAGCACTTTCAAAGTCTGGAATATTTTGCCTTACAAAAAAATTATGCTTACAAAAGAACTGCCTATAAGATTATTCAATTTTCTGCCTCTTGGATGACAGATAAATACTAGACCTGACCGAGAAAAAACTGTGGAAAGGGGCCTCATCCCTAGGGCTTCAACCCCCCCTCCATTTCAATACTTTTGTCAGTCCCCACCAAGTTTGGCTAAGCAGATCTTCTACTCAACTTCACAAAAACTGGGAACTAATCCAAGTTCCTGATGCCATTCAGAAAACAATACTTGATGAATGCATTTACTAAGGATTAGGAAACAACTCATGTCCAGCCTCGGGCAATGCACATCATACGACACTTGCTGTTTTTAGCCGAGCAGATATTAGCAAATTCCTGCTGTCAGAAGACCCTGTCCAAATTACTTGGCTGTGGCTTTAAATAACACGTGAGTCCATGGTAGTGGCAGAAGCTACTTCCCATAGAGTTGTGCGTAATTTCAAGCCCAGGCAAGGTTTTTAGATGCAGCCTTTTACAAGAGTGACCCCGCCTCTTCGGTGACTGATGCCCATTCATTTAAAGAAATATCAACAGGGAATAAGAATGAAGAAGATTTTCTTAGTCACCGTCCTCCTCTTCTTCGTCCTCGTCCCCGGCTGCCTGTGCTGCGGCCTTGAGGTCCTGCTGGGATTTCAAGAAGCGCGTTTGCTTGGGGGGCTTGCTGGGAAGCTTCTCAAATTCCTCCTCCAATTCCTTCAGCTGCAGGGGGGAGGTGGAAGGGGGGGAGAGACAGAGATGTTTCTCAACATCCGTGACAATCACATTACCTCATCTGGGTAAAGTTACCGTTTATCACAAAGTCAACAAAGCAGGAACTTATTAATCCCCGGTCGGCAAGCAAGGCCTCCATGAAGCTTGCACTAGTCATAATTCAATAGACCATAATCGCGGGGGACCAAATTTTAGTCAGATTCCCCAATGTAGTATATTCATTTGAAAACGTTATGTTTGAGGAACCAGACTCTATTATCTCTGATTCCATTCCAACCCCCCCCCCAAAAAATCACGACTGAAATTGGGTCTCCCGCGAATAAGGTCGATTGGGCACAACATACAAATGACCTTATTATAGCTGGCTGAGTTCAGTACTTTTTTCACCTTCTCCAAGCTAGGGAAAACTAAGACGGTACAGAAACGTTTCTTCTCTGCACATCTGCAAACCTCTTCAGCCTACATTTAGCTGGACACAATGTTTCATAATTCATGGTCGCTCGTACTTCACACTACCATCAAAGAATGAGCACTTGCCATGTGCACAGTGAATGGAAACTAAAACCTGGAACTTCTGCCACCTTACGTGTCCAAAAATTTTGAAAGAGGTGTACATCAGAAATTTATGAAACCGTTACAATACCAAACAATCTCTCTTCGGAGGAAAGGCACAAAAAACAGTACAGGGTTTGTTGCTGACAAGCCACTGATATGAGGAGAGGGCAAATTTCTTCCAGACACCTGTAAAGGGCTTGATGTTGACAGGCATAGCTTCTTGGCCACTGATATGAACCGTAAA